CAAAATCTATCCTTCCATCTCTACGCCTCACAGATCTATTATACTTTTTCAATGGCGGTGCTGTACAAAACTGCCTGGCCAGGCAATTCTTCACGCCACGGAGAACCTTCATCGCCATGTTGGCGCTTCTTGTAACATTTCCCTCACTTCCCACGCACCACACGGCTGAAATTATACACTTCATTACAAAGTTATTGGCTGCGTTCTCATGAACACGATAGCCCAGATTGCGCACGTCAAGTGACAAACGTGATGGAAGCAGTTCTGACAGTTCCAGTCGAATCACGGCACCCGGGAACGCTTGCACAGTACATGAACCATTGTGGACGTAGAGTGCTCTCGTAGCTTCCAATATGATCTGCCGCTCTGCAACCAGCTTCGAGCTTTCTATGCATTCTGCGTCCGCCACACCACCATGCCATCGACTGGATTTCGGATACATTGAGTTGAAGAACGGAGCCATCATGATGTCCACTTTCGCCCATTCACTTGGTGGAACGATACGAACAGGAGTTTTAGACTCGTTCGAATATTGCAATGCGGTCCCCTCGTTACCCCCAAAATTTTCAACCAATGACGTTCGGTTGAATGCCTTCTTCTTTCGTCGGACGACAAAGTACTTGAGGTCACTCTTGGGAAAAAGATACTTCAAAGCATGCGGAAAGAGAGTCCTCTGTACGGTGGAATAAGATGGGAACTTATTAGAAGGAGAAACCCAAGAAATTATATCTCTCATGAGTTTATACTGTTTGACCGTATAGCGGACGCTACCGCAAACTATTACGAAGCCCAAAAGGTTGTACCATGGTTCGAAAAGCTTCCGAGATGATAGAATTATTCGCAAAACTTTCTGGCTGTCCAGCCTGCTTCCCATTTCGGGATCGTCACTTGATAAACTCGGAAAGCACTCCATCCCCTCACAGCTCTCTTGATAAATACTTGGAATAATGATATTGTCATTTCCCACTAAAACAACGTTTGGATCGCTTTCGGGAGCGAAGTGTTCCGAGTCGCCAAGTTCTGGGAAGTGGCCTTCATCATAGTCGACAAGATCTATTCCTTCTTCGACGACAACCGTTTCTCGATGTTCCGAGCCCTTTACTTTCGATCTAGTACCTTGATCTCCAGTCTGATTGTTCGACGAAGCATGCCCATTCAACACTCCCAAAATATCAGCCGCTTCGCCAGTTTCCGGAAGCTCGAGAGCTGGGGTTTCTTCTGCTTCCATAAGTGCGGCCGCCTCTGCATCCCCATCGAGATCGCTTCCTGGTCGTGTATGAACGTCATGGAACAGGGTTTACAGGTCTGGCAAGTCAGGGACGTTGTCCATCCAAGTAGTGCCCATCGTACGACGTCTCTTTCTTCGACCTGACATATGAGGAACGGTGGTGCTGTCGTCCGATATTTTCGTGTGGATTATGGTGTTGGAAGAAGTGAGAGTGTAGGATGTTGTTGAAGGAACAGTGCGCAGGGGTCGCCAGGCCTGGCGGTTTAGATTTTGCACACCAAATAATTACATTACAAGTGGCGGTCTGCTAGTGTCTATCCAACCGTGAGGACAAAATTTGAGGACAAAGGGATTTTTCTTCGAACTCCTTGCTTGTTCTTTAGTTTTGATTACTCCACATAGCCCTTGACACAATCAGCATAAATCGTTTGTTGTGGAGACAATTTCTACCTCTAAAAATGAAGCAGAACCTGGAATTTTTCACTGTAAGCAGTTCTTCTTTGTAGTACGAAATTGAAATGGCTTCTTCGTGATTTAGAAGGTATTTCATTGACAACCCCCGCCGTTCAAGTGCGATATGGCGGTCTTGAAGTATTCTTTCAGAAGAATTCGTGTCGGCTATATGATGAAAAATTAATAAATTTGTCGGATCTGTTGAGGTATGATAAGCTTGGTCGGTCGGATACACACTACAGTACAGGGTATTAACTCTGCCTTTCTTTGTCCACCGTTGTTTACTCCGGTATCCCCCAACCTCCTCTTTCTTTCCCCTCACTAATCCACCATGACCACTGCCCTCGCATCTCCTCCCGTCCTTCTCTGCTTCTGTCTTTCTCTGCGCCCTCTCACGCAGGCCACGCCCTCGCTGTCGCACCGGCCCCACCCCTCGCATGGGGCCCTGGAAGGCGTGAAGGAACACGTACGGTTTGGGATATCCTCCTGCACAGGATTCCCGTCCTCGTCGAACATTCTGATTCGCACTCGCCCTCTCCCTCAGTAGTCTCGACAATACGCCTTGTTCACTTCCAAGGCCGTCTGAAACTTGAGCAGTTGCGCGCAATCAAATACCTCCTTTTATCCTCGGGTTTTCAACGCACTTATCTTTCACGATTTTGCGACCCTGGTTCACACATAAAACGGCAACATCTGTCAACAATCATAGAAAGACCTGCACACAAGCAGCTATTCAACGACGTGCTAAGTTTGCATCGCATCACTTACCTGGGCTTCCGTTCGCAATTTGTCGAGGTAAGGCGGGTAAATCACCACCCATGGTCGTGGATCCACGTCCGGGCCATAATCCTCCGCAAACAGCAGAGCCGGTATCTTAGACATGTTGCTGGACTGTCTCACTTCGCGAATAACACCTTCGAATTGCAGTCGAATTCTCCGACTCAGCCAGAGGCACTTGCTTCCAATAAAAGTATGTAATCCCCTTGGTGGGACGCCGATGATGCCCGGAAAGAGCTACTCGGTGAGAGCCAAGGCATGCGAAGGAGAAAGGGTGAGGCCGGACCGTCATCGGCAGCATCGTAATCCAAGGAAGATGAAGAGTTGACGGCCCGCCATCAGCCTATCCAGGACGAATTAACTTCTAACTTGGTCGGCCTTGTCGGCCAGCTCAAACAAAGCATATCGGCAAACAAGGGCAAGCTGGAGAAAGACAGCATAGTTCTCGATGAAACTGAAGAAGCTGTCGATAATAACTCTTGGACTCTGAGCGCTGTGCCGGTCGAGACAAGCTGCGTCCCTGGAAAGTTGAAATGAAAAAATGATTCTAGCATCACTGCAATAGCCATGTTGATGTCATCTTTTCGAACGTATTCGCGCAAGTGCAGTGTTGCATGGGCCTCCGCCAATCGAACTATAGACCCAAGATGACGGAGCGCAATAGATATTCTTCCCGATGACATTGACTCCTTTCGAAGGTCAATGTAAATTGACGAGATCTTCTCCTTGTCCATATCGGTCAGCTTCGGGTGTACATTGTTTTTTGCATAGAGGAGGTTGAAGCCTCCGTCTTGAATCGCACGGCCCTGCTCCTCCAACCTCTCTTGCTCGAGGTCTTCACTTGCCTCCTGCAACGCGGCTCTCCGCTTGTACCAATCTGCATCCACAGAGAGATCCTTCTCCCCTGAAAACGTATCAAGTTCCTTCATGCCTGTCTTCTTTCTCCGATTGACAACTTTCCCTATCAGATCGCTCTCTTTCCTGTCCTCCTCGACCTTGACAGCGACGTGCTTTCCACATTCCGCTGGCGGTAAGCCCAACAAAGCGTCGACGAGCAAGCCATCTAAACCGGCGACCATATTCCTCCCGCGCAGTCCATTGGCGAGACTCGCATCGCCCTGCGGAGAGCTCATCCGACGGGCAATAGTGGACCATGAGCTCACCTTTCTCACAGCCGCTCCGCGATCCCTGCGCGGGGAAAGCGCTTCCAGGATGATGGAACGTGCATCGGCGAGCGCCAGTGCCAGCAACACATCGAAACAGTCCAGCACATGGACGACGTCGGCGGTAGCCAAGGCGCGCGTGAGAGAGATAACCAGGCGTGAAACGGGCTTTGCTAAATCCCTAAATCCGAAAGATGCGGGTCGACGAGTGGGGCGGTGACGGAGGGGGCAAAGAGAACTGCAACGTGCGGCAGTTGGGCCGGGGAAGGAGTAGGGGGCAGGTGTGAGGATAATTGCAGGTCGAGGGAGGCGAAAGGGTGCGTGGGGATGCGGCGGATCGAAGAGAGGGCGTGTGCGGAAGGCGAGATAGGTGTCGACGTAGGGCGCAGTTAAAGTGGGTTATGGGGAGAGGGGCGCGGGGAAGGGGCTGTCGAGAAGCGCATTTTCAGACGGGGTGAATCGTTGAGCAGTCGACATTGGGGTTACGGCGTGGAATTAGTTGGGAGAGTTAGAGGGACGGAGGGGAGAAATGCGATGCGGCGTTCTGGCTTTTGAGTTTTTTGAAAGCGATCTACCCTTCGAAGGGTATGAAGAGCGTGTAGAGAGGTGAGGCGCACTTGAGAATTGGCGATGAGGAGATGCGGTGTACTTGTTGGACACGTGTGTACTCACACGTGTCCGACGTCCGGTGCTCTCCTTCTTCTCGAGAATACTTCTTCTCGAGAATACTACTTCTTCTCGAGAATAAACTTTACTGTACGAAAGCTGCTCTCATCACAAGCTGTACAGCTGGGCTGTACAGTACGATGATGAAGCAGTAGGGTGGAGGTAAACACTTGTATCCTCCAAGAGGGTGGCGTGAACACAACGTCTCAGCGTTTTTTCAACCGTGCTTTACCGGACGTGGATTGTTTAGCGGGACGGGTGCTTGCGGGAATGCGAAGGGGCGAGGTTGAGAGGTGAACAACTGAAGACTTATTCTAAGTCGTCGTCTATATCGTGGTGGGCTATGCTCGTTGTCGCTCTCGTTATGCTGGTCATATTTGTTTTGCTCGTCATCGTGCTTGAGATCCCAATTTGAGCCCTGATTGCATTCTCGAAGAGAACAAATGCTGGCAGAAGCGAGCAAAGCTACCAAGCTCATCAAATACTGTACCGTACTCAGCCTATAGACAAACAGTGCTCATGCCCAACTTGTGTGTGTCTAGCTTTTACGAGTAGCAATGCTAAGCATACCGACACAATCCTAACCAGTCCTGAGGCCAACTTAACCATTCAAGATTTGTACAAGCCATCGCCGCACGAGTCTACACTCGCAGATGCGAGGTGAAGCGGTGGGCAGTCAAGGCATCTCGTGTTCCCTTTTAATTTAACAATAAATGGATCCCGACTCAGAACGCAACAACCCTTACCACCATATTTTCCTGAGCGTCAACCTTGGGTACCTCGCGAAGACCTCGAAATTAGAGCTAGACACGACCGATGGCTATTTCCAAAACACCTTAGCACAACCCTCTACGCCAGTACAATCTTCCCCGCAGGAGTCAGGACTTAGAGCCGACCAAGAATATCAGCAAGCTGGTCTGGAAATGGGATCAAAACGAGCAGCATCAAGCAAATGGCCCCTACCCCGATAGCCGTGCGCGTGCCATCAGGCTCAAGCACTTCGTTCCTGCACGGGTAATCACTTTCGCGCTGCAAGAACACGGCGACGAGCCCCCAAAACAAAAGCAGCGGCGAGTTGCCCAGTAGAGATGAGAAGCCTTGCAGCAACAAAGTAAGCGCCGTGGCACGGCTCGCGACCGCCCGCCCGTACAAAGCCTGCATGATCCGGGCCCCGTCCAACCGGCCGATTGGCATCAAGTTTAACGCATTGGCCAACAAGCTCGTGTACTCCACGACTGCTAGCGGATGTACAGCGATGGTGGCCTGTTCTCTCAAACCCGCTGGCAAGATGATATCCGCGAGCGAGCCGACCAAAATGGAGGCGTGGAAGAGCGCAGACGGCACTTGCGGAAACCAGTCGGCGATCTGCCCGCTGCTCGTAATCAACAGTCCCGCGATCAGAGCGGAGATACTGGCGACGGACCCCACGAGCGGTCCTGCATTTATTGGTGCGCACCGGTACAATATCAGCCTGGATCCAGTAGAAACTAACAGATGTCCGTCTACAACTACTAAAATCCGTGTCTGTGTGTGTGTCTGTATGTCCTTGCGCTCCCGCGTTGCCATTGGCGCACGGGGGCGGCGCCGCGGTGACAAGTGGCGGCCATGGGGACACGTGGCGTGACAAGTGGCCCCCCTTACTAAAATCGGTGTATGTGTGTCTGTCTTTTCGTCTGTGCGTTCCCGCGTTGCCATTGGTGCGCTCTGTAGAAGCCGCCGTGCTGATTGGTGCGCCTAATATTTTCAATTTTTCCGATGTGCCTTTTCGCGGGAAAACAAATTTTGGGCGCACTGGGGCGACACGGCGTACACGTCACGGCCACGTGAGGGGCGGCCTGGCCGCAGGCCAGGCCGCCACGGGGACACGTGGCCGTGGCAAGTGGAGGGGGGCGGCGGGGCGGCCTGGCCGGTGGCCAAGCGGCCACCAAGGACACGTGGTGGCTACGGGATGGGCAGAAATTACGTGGGTCATTTAAAAATTCCGCATGACCTCAGAGGCTGCAGCGGCGAGGGGAAAGGGTGTGTCACTGGCGGGGGGCGAGGGGGGCCGCATGGGCACGCTGTCGCGAGGATCGCGCACGGTGGGTGAAGGCAGAGGCCGCTGACGAGGCCCGAGAGGCGGGTGCGGAGCGCGGGCGGAAGGGGCCGGACCGCGCCCGGGGGGGAAGGGGGTGGCGGCGAGCGCCGGCGCGAGGGGCAGGGGCGAGGAACGCCGAAGACCGTCGCTGCGAGGCGGGCAGGTGTCACAGCCAGCAGCGCAAGAAGACGCGCGCGGGTGAGGGGGGGCCGGGAATTGACGCCCAGGCGGTCGCGCTGCGCTCCTTCCGCGGGGTTCGCAGCGTACGAGAGGGAAGATTGACTAACTGCGATGACTGTGGGTGCGGGAGCGGCACCGCGACGGACGAGAAGGAGGGCCTACGGGAACGGCGTGCAGAGGGGAAGGTGGCTGTGATCGGCTTGATCAAGAAGAGGCGGGCAGGCGGGGGATGGGGGAAGCGCATCATAAGGGGAGGAGGGATCGTAGGGCGGTCAAAGGAGGCAGGAGGGGAGGGGAACCAGGAGAGCGGAGGGCGGGAGAGTCGCTGAGAGCGCACGCGACGAAGCAGGGGCAGCGGCAGCAGCAGCAAGGGTGGGGACGTCGGGAGCAGTAACTGCAAAGGTCGGAGCAGGAAGCTGAGCGGGAGGTGCACAGGCGGCGAATTGGGTGGGGCGGAAGGCGAGGTGGGGGTGCAAGCCCGGGCACGCGAGGCGACGGTTACTTGGGGGCGGCAAGAGCAGCAGCAGGGGCGGAGGCCGGCAACGGAGAGGGCAAGGCCGCCGCAGGGAGAGAGGGAGCGGGGCGAGCCGCACGAGTAGAGGGGCCGGGTGGAGTAGGGCGGGGCGGCGGGTGAGGTGTGATTGCGCGGGCGTGTGTCTAGAGCGTGAGAGCCATAGAATAACGAAAGGGTAGGGGCACAGAAGTGGGAGTGCGGGGATGGAGGAAGCGAAGCGCCTCGCGGCGTAGGCGCCAGGCAACGCGGGCGGCGGCGAAACAGTCGAGAGCAGAAGCGGGGAGAGAGAGGGGGCAGTGTGGGCGGGGGCCCACGGGTTCGCCGGTACGGAGGTTGAGGCGGACGGGAGTGCCAACCGTAGCGACCAGGGTAACGGCCTGGGCAAGGGTGGCGAGCAGGACTGAGGCGAGTGTGGCGAGAGCAGCGCGACCTGCGGCCAGAGTGAGCACGGAGGGGCGGTACGCGTGGCAGGACGAGGGGGAAAGGGGCGACGAAGACCGGAGAGAGGACGAGAGCAGTAGCGAAGAGGACGGGGGAGCAGCGGGGCGGGGAACGCGGGCAACGATGGTGGACCAGAGACGAAGGGACGGCGGAGCGGGAGGTGCGGGGCGAGGAGCGGAGAAAGAAGGCATTTGGCTCGGCGCGCGAAGCGCGCACGGAGCCCACTTGTCCTATACTATATTTTACATTAAAAATGGCTCATCAAGCTACAACAGCGGTAGGTTTGATACGATCAGAAAAGTGTGCTGCGCGCGCGCCAAAAAATCTAAAACAAATTTCGAACCACTAAATCTACCGGGCCATTCTAAAAAATCATTTCAGATATTGAAAATCTGACCTCGTAGTGTGTGGATTCTGTGGCAGGTGCAGCGGCAGCTCCCCAAGTTCCTCCACGAATACGCTTCTTACCACCTTCTGTCCAGGAACGCTTCCTTTTTCTTGTACCTCTTCCTTTCAATCTCCCCTGGTTCGTGTTTCGAACCCCGATCGCTGCCGCCTCTTCCAGTTGTACATCACGTGGCTGCGCACCCCAGCCCCTCTCCGTCTCCAGTGATGCAGCAACGGACGTAACGACCTGGAAATATCTATATCGTCTGTTTCTCTGTTGCGGTTGACTTTCCGCGCAAGCAACCGCATCATGCGATCCAACTTTTTCATTGCCGAAACACCTTTCGAAGAAACGCACAGATGGACCTTGTTCCAAGCAGCCCTCTCGTTGCAAAAAAAGCTGGAAGAAAGCCAATCGATCCTAGCCTTACGGGTGTCGCATAAACACCCCACACACGGCGGAGGGTTGTTCGCGATGTTCGGCGGAAAACCCCGGATCAGCGTACCGAGGGTCTTGAACCAACTACCGCCACCGGAAGGGGGCCGGTAGCCGGCGGTAGAGCGTGGTCGGGGGGGACGCGCGCGTAGGAGAGCGGATCGACGCCTCGACGTCACGGAGCAGTACCGGTGGACGATCCGGTACTGACGGGCGGAGGCGGATCGCAGCTCGCCGCGGTGTCGCGCACGTCCACTACCCGCTCGGTGGTAACTACTCGCGGAACGGCGGTGTGAGTAGAGTAAGCTGGGTGGTCGACCGTCGGTGGAGGGTTACCTGTCCTCCGTCCCCTCCGCCGGCGGTCGCTCCGTATATTTATTGTACAAGTTAATCTAGAGGCTACTGTACAGTACGGTCGGTACTGTAGTCAGCTACTGTAGACAGTGCGGGCCGTCCCGCACTGTAACGCTGTCAGCCGCCGGTGCTGACAGCCCACGTGTAGTACTCGGGTGGTACACGTGTTGGTGCGCGCGCTGTAAGGGATGCGCGCGCGCCCGCTGTAAGGTCCATAACTTACAGCGTTAGATCCAAATCTAAATCTAATAAAACGCCGTCGGTAGTTATGCTACACGGCCCCCCCTTCAAGCGTGAACGTCCGCGTTCACGTATGCGCGAAACGGGGGGGTTCCTCCTCTTCATCTTCCTGGTTCGTCCAGTCTCTCTCGTCCCACGCCACTCACGCTCCGACCACCCTCAACCGGTGCGTTCCGTTCAACGGAACGCAAGGAAAGTTTCCTTTCTCATACTCCCTTGCTTCCGTTCGAAGCTAGGGCTCCGAGATGTTTTTTATTTCATTCCGTTATATCCTCCTGACCGCTTTCCACATCGGTGATCGTTCCTCTTTCGTCCCCTGAGCGTCCCTTCACTCCCTCAACGGGCGCAACCATCGGGTCCGAATAGCCCGTGTCTCCGGCTCGGACGCCGCCAATCCGCCCGCGTCCGGCAGCGAGGATCCCCCATTTCCACGCGTCGTCAGAGTCCAGGGCGTTTATCCGTTGTCTGCTACGGATCCACCTCCTGCGTTAAACTTTCCAGGGAGGCTTTCCTGCCCACCGCCGAGGCGGGACGTCACGGAGAAGACATGCGATCGAGTTTGACTGTTTCCTTTCCTTCCCCTTCGCGACCACCCGTGCTCGTCCTGGAAGTACGCCGATTGTGCCACAAATCCAGTCTCCACCCCTTGCCGATTCGTCACTGACCCAAGGGCTTGACAGTTTCTGTACTCGTCAGCGGTTCACCAGGCGCGTCGCGGTACCTTGGGCAACTACTACACAACGCGAGCGGGGCGCAGTGCGGGACGCTGTGCGCCGACGAGAGCTTCCGTCAGTGTATGAGGCGCTCCGAGGCATTCTCTGATCCGTACGCGGAGGAGACACATGACGTCCCCCTTTCGAGGGAGTAGAGAATCGGTCGCCCCTCGCGGGGGGGGGCGTAACGTCGCTTCTTCCTCGGTAGTCACCCACTTGGGGTCCAGTTGCCGTGCCTCAAGTGCCGTCCTTGCCAACGATGACGGCCGTACGGATTCCTCTTCTGTCCCTGATAGGCGCATCCGCTCCGGGGCCCGCTCTCTTGCCCGCGCTGCGCCTTCAGCGTCGCGACCATCCTTGTCAACGTTCGCCGCGGCATCGTCCTTGTATACCGGATCATCGTCCCACGTCCCTCGGTAGTACTGCCCCGCCGCTCGCATACGGCGCGAGGTCCACGATTCTCGGACCGCGGCGGTGGACACTACGCCCGGCCTGAGACCAGCTCTCTCCCCGGCGTTGCTCCTCCGTGAAGACGCTGTGCAACGCTCGTCGTCCCGGGAGCCCTCGGCCACTGCGCGCAGTGGCGCTGCACACGATTCCCCTGAAATAATTTGCGTACGGACGCTCCT